TTCCACCCCTTTTTTTTCTTTTTCCCTTTTTCTATTTTTGCCTTTTCCCATATCATTTCCGTTGAGTTGACCGATTAAATAGGTCAATGTCTGATTCTTACTCCCTCCTTCCTCAATATTAAGTATTATAATAGAAAGAAATATAAAAATAAATTTTAAAACTCTCTCTTTCCTCTCTAAACTCGACCATGTCTCTCATACCATTCCTCACCACCCTCAATGTCAACTTATACAAGCTTAATACTGCCCGTCAAAAATGTAAATTTTAAATTCATTTTTTGTTTCACCTTTTGAAAGTGAAGTCTGAAGATCCAGAGAAAAATAAAATTCCCTGGTGAAATAAATTATTACAAATGTAGCCTTAAAGTGGTCTGTTTTTTTCTTTAAATTAATATACATACATATATATATATATATATATATATATATATATATATATATATATATATATGTATTTTATGTGTGTGTGTGTGTGTGTGTGTGTGTGTGAGGAATCAACAGTTATGCCACCAGGGTGTGTCAAAGGGTTTACATAATAGCAAGTACAAAACTTTTCCCATACGAAATTTCCCAAGCCATTTTTGACACGTTCGACTGTTCGCATCACCTTCTCCATGAACTACACAAGCTGTTTCAGCGTTTGTATCGCATTTTTATCTTTATGAAACAAAAAAGCATTATATATAAAAATGTAACTTCCTTCCCTGTTTAGTATTAGAAACAGTAAACAAAAAAGACACGAATTTTAAGAAATTAAAGAAAATGCACTTCGCTGTAACTGCCACAATGTAATCAAATGCAGTTCTTTTTTTATAAATCAAATTATAAGTAAACGATCCCGATGCCATTTAAACTAAACATAGAACTAACGTTCCATTTACTTTATTCATGCTGTACCAAAAATCATTTATGACTATAGCTCTCGTAATCTATTTCGAAAATACTTTTTTTATTGACACGAGAAACACAAACAAAAGTCAAAACATTGAAAATCAGTCAAAAATATATGTAAAAATTTAAATGCAAAAAAACCCCTAAAAGCCAGGTCTGCGTCTAACTTACAAAAAACAAACTTACAAACAGAGTCTATGTACACCCTTTTTGATTTTCTTACAAATCAAAACCTATGCGTCCATATTTGATTCTTTTAAAAACCGCACCTATTTGCACCCTTTTTGATGCTCTTACAAACCAGACCCATGTGTATCCTTTCTGATTCTCTTAAAAAATGGATCTATGTGTACCCTTTTCGAATCACTTACAAACCGGATTTATGTGTACCCATTCTGATTCTCTTACAAACCGGATTTATGTGGACCCTTGTTGATTCTCTTACAAACCGGATCTATGTGTACCCTTTTGATTCGCTTAGAATCCGGATCTATGTGTACCCTTTTCGAATGTCTTACAAACCGGATCTATGTGTGTTATGGAGTGGTTTCACAGTGGAGGCTTGTATGTGTACTAAGTCGGTCCTAAAATAGGTTCGACGTACAAAACATTAGGAACTTGATATAATAGGTAATGATGCAGAGAAATCTAGTTGTGGTCGCTGATACTTTAGTATCCGACTAACGGTCGTCCGGCATCGACTGGCTGACCGACGATATTCAGTCCCCCACCCACGAGGGCGTGATGTGGCACAAGGCCTTTTTAACGTGGGATTTCCGAGCCCGTGGGCTCGGCCAAAAATATGCCCATTGAACCCATATAAACGGGTTCAGGTTCGGTTTACCTCCCCGAAAGAGAATCCGCCCTTCGGCGTAGCCTCCTTCGGGTTCCTCTCCGCCTTCAGTCCCCCCCCTCCCACGAGGTCGTGATGTGGCACAAGGCCTTTTTAACGTGAGATATCCGAGCCCGTGGCATTTTCGAGCCCTTGGGATCTCCGAGCCCGTGGGATCTCCGAGCCCGTGGGATCGGCCAAATATATGCAATAGGCAGAGAGTTCAACCGATCAGCCAGTCGACTGACTGACCGACCCACTGGACGACTCCTACTACTCCTACTTATTATAGGTGGGAGAGTCTATTAACAATAGAATAGGCGTGTTCCACTATAACAATGTGTACCATTTTGATTCTCTTACAAACCGGATCTATGTGTACCCTTTTTGATTCGCTTACAAACCGTACCTAAGTGAAAACTTTTTGATTCGCTTACAAATCGGATCTATGTCTATTTTTTTTACTTTTGTACTAATCGGTCTTTCTTACAAACCCTATCTGTATCTACCTTATTGGCTTTATTACTAAGTAGTCTATATCTATCTTTTTATCTCGTGCAAATCAAACTTATATTCTGTCAAACGACAACATTCTGCATTAAATAACCTGGAACAGGTTGATGTACCGTAAGAAACCAAAATAATGTATACAAAAAATATAATAAGAAAGAAGAAAAGAAAAGAAAGGGACAAGAAAAGGAAGAGAAAGGCAAAGTAAAAGAAGAAGAAGAAAATAAAGGCACGTGAATGAAAGAAATAAGACAATGAAGAAAAAAATTCAAAGGTAAGAAAGAAGGAAGGAAGGAAAACGAAATACGAAGTAATGAAGGGTAAATAATAAAAGAAAAAGAGTGAGATATTACGGTCAGGAGAACACGTTTAAATCATCAGGGCTTTAACACCAAACGACATAGGTAGAGAGAAAAACGTGTGCTTATCTTTAGAAATGTCATGGATAATGTCAATAGAGAGATACGTTTCGTTAGGCGGATGAAGAGTCGGGCGTAAAATGTGAAACAACGACAATCATAAACGACTCTATATTCACTGATACAATTAGAAACCTGAACAGATGTTCGTATAACAAAAACACTTTTCATTTTGAAGCATAACATTTTAAAACATTAAAATAAAAGCTCTTGGTTACAAATCCATATCAGTTCTTGTCTCTGCCAAAAATATTGTTTATTCCTGTTTCATAAGTAAATTCTATCGTACGTTCAACGGTTCAAAGATTATTTAATAAAGCGACATCAGTATGAGTGACGTTTACTTTTATGTCTATACCCCCTACACACACACACACACACACACACACACACACACATATATATATATATATATATATATATATATACATACATATAAATATAGATAACTAGACTCGTTTCGAAAAACCCTCGAATTTTTGATTTGCTAATCAAATCAATCTAGAGGGAAAAAAGGTTTTAAAAAGAAAGAGCTACAAACATGAACTTCTGCCGACAAAAAAATCGCACAGATGCAGGTCTGAAGCCCAAAGAAAAAAAACCCGATACGAGTAACAACTAACTAACAAAAAGAGCTCAATACAACCGTAGAGCAGACCTAGATAAACCTAGTGAGCCAGACAAACTACCTACCTAGGTTTCACCTAAACGGATCGTCAGGAAAGTTTGGAAAGTGAGCCAAACTTTCCCTGACGATCCGTTTAGGTGAAACCTAGGTAGGTTTGTCTGGCTTCACTAGGTGTATCTATATCATATATATATATATATATATATATATATATATAGTCGACTCTACCGTCAAATTCGACGTATGAGGGTCAAGCAGATCAGTTCCCAGGAAACCGACAGCCCGACAACAGCACATGACATTTGATTAGCGCGGTGAAGGCTTCGTTCAGGACCATCCACACTTTTTGAAGAGACGAATACAGAGACCTGGTGCACTAAGTGCTACAAGGTCCCAAAACGACTCTCCGCAGGCTTTGAATGCAGAGTTGTCCTTCTCCTAGACCAGTTGCCATCCAAGGCTATAGAACCCAGTCTGTCCTGCTATATACCCATAGCTGGAGGAAGAAGAGGATTCACACCTTTCCCAAGCACGTAAGGGAATGTAATAGATTCAACTGGAATTCGAACTCGGCTCTCCGGATTCTTCAATCCAAGCCGCTATCCTCCTCTCTCTATATATATCTGTATAAAGGTCGTTTCAATAACTTGGACCAATTTTAAATGTTTTGGATAGGAGTCATTCCTTGTTCAAATTTAAATTCAATTTAAATCAAAGGGAAAAAAATCAGTGTATGTGGTGGTGGTGGTGGTGGTGGTGGTAGTAGGGGCTTTGGCCCCCTTTGATAAAAAAGGAAATGACTCTTATCCAAAATATGGGAGAAAGCCAGAAGATTGAAGTCATAACAGCAATATATTTTGATCAAAGAGCCCCCCCCCACCGGGGGACACAGACTCCCTACTGAATTTTTCCTCTCTTTTATTTAAATTAAATTTAAATTTGAACAAGGGAATGACTCCTATCCAAAATACAGAAGGAGAAAGCCAGAAGATGGAGGTCACATCTCAAGATCAAAATGAGACAATATGGACGTCTTGTTGAGCAAGAAATCACCAATCAGTATCTTATACTACATATTTGTTGCGACAATTCAACTGTCATATCAATCACATCAAGCTGTTTTTTCACAAACTGACCACTGAATTTTTTCTTACCTTTGATTTAAATTAAATTAAAATTTGAACAAGGGGATGACTCCTATCCAAAATATAGAAGGAGAAAGCCAGAAGATGGAGGTCACATCGGGAAGATAATTGTATAATATCGAATTGTATCATTTTTCTCCACAAATTATAACAATGATTTAAAATCAATCATCATTTTCTCAAAAAAATTGTGTGGTACGCAGCAAGGTGCGGATAATTCGGCTAGTTTATATATATATATATATATATATATATATATATATATATATATATATATATAATTTACATTGATAAAAACATTACTTTCGTCTGATGATGTCCTTTCAAAGTACAAAACGCATTACATTGAACTTTTTTTCATTTTAGCAACCTTTGTTCTGATATATACAAACTTTGAGCTTTTCTTTAATCATTAAAACGTTTTCTGGAGAAAATTCTGTTCGCTTTTAAATGCATTAAACTATATTAATTTATTGGAATACGTGTTTTTGTAGGCATTAATATAATTATGTGATAGATAGGAAGATAGGATAGATAATGAATTAATTCATATTGATTGTTTGAAAGCTAGCTAGCTAGCTAGCTTGATAGATAGATATAAACAGACTGTCATAGATAAGTAGATTGATAAATATGCACAGATTGACATAGATAGATAGATAGATAGATAGATAGATAGATAGATAGATAGATAGATAGATAGATATGAACTAAGGGGAAGAGATAGATAGATAGATCAATTCAGACAGACACAAAACAGTCATAGATTCTTATTACACTGTCGATATTTATAAACGCTCTATCTCTGATATTGAGCATTCTCCTTCACAAATATAGTAATATTTAAACATATATATGCGCGCGCGTGTGTGTGTGTGTTAGAGAGAGAAAGAGAGAGAGAGAATTTAGATTAAGATGGAGATAAAGATATGAACAGAATGCGAGATTCAACCGATATTCTTTTGACGTCAGTTTAAACTGACACATTTTTTTCCATATACCTAAAACATAATTATAAACTGCAATTTCCAAAAGGGAAAATTTAACCGAAATATTTTGGACAAGTGCCAAATTTTTCTCTGAGATAAATCATGAATACAAACTTTAAGCAAAATGGTCATTACATCGGGGTGAAAAAAGAAAGGGAGAGAATAACTCGAAAGAAAGAAAAATAAACGTACAAAAAGAAAATGTAAGAATATAAAGGCCAGAAAAAAGAAGAAAGAAACAAAGAAAGAAAGAAAGAAAGAAAGAAAGAAAGGAAAAGGAAGAAAGTACGAAAGAAAAAGAAAAGAAAAAGAATAAAGAAAGAAAGAAAGATAGAAAAAGAAAGAAAGAAGAAAAAGAAAGAAAAAGAAAAAGAAAGAAAGAAAAACAAAGGAAAAAAGAAAAAGAAAGAATGAAAGAAAGAAAAAAAGAAAGAAAGAAAGAAAGAAAGAAAAAGAAGGAAGAAAGAAAAAAGAAAGAAAGAAAGAAAAAGAAAGGAAGAAAGAAATAAAAAAGAGAGAAAGAAATAAAAAAGAAAGAGAGAAAGAAATAAAAAAGAAAAAAAGAAAGTAAAAGAAAGAAAAAAAGAAAGAAAGAAAGAAAGAAATCATAATGTTGAAACCTGTGATAAAAAAAGAGGCAAAGAATGAACAATTCTGCCAAATAAAAAAGTCAAAAAAAAAAGAAAAAAAAGAAAGAAGACTTAATTGTGCCTTTATCTCCCGGAGAGTTAATGAACGAAAGTTAATATTTCCGGTTTGAATCCTCGCGCCAGAAGCGACAAACGGTAATCCAAAATAAAGTTCGCGGGTAGAAGGGTTATTGCGTACAACTTTGTTTATTTATTCGTCACACTATTTTAGTCGATGGCATTCCAGAAAAGAGAGAAATTCACTATATCACTCTTTGTTATATCGAAAATGGAGTCTGTGCATCATTAGTTGGTGACGTTGCCAAACTCCAGGAAACTGATTCACACTATGTTTTGACCAAATAATGTTTATTTAAAAAAAAGAAAAAAAGAAAAAAGGAAAAATATCTTGTTTAAGTTACAGGCGAAATAGGGTTGATGACACTCTGAGCAAATTGTAAAAATAAAGAGAAAAAGAAAACAGAGTCGTTGAAAGGAGCGTTATTTTAAATTCTGAGGACATTCTTACGATAATCAAACTAGTTGTGCCCTGATTCTAGTCTTTTACATATCGCAGTCAACTGACACGAGAGAGAGAAGATTAATACTTTCATTCTTTCCTTACATTTATAGTCTATTTCTATTTCTTTCATGATTTCTTTCTTTTTCTAGACTTCTTTCATTCTTTCTCTTTATAGATTTCTTTCTTTTCTCTTCTTACATCTTACTTCTTTATTTCCTTATATATTCATTTCTTTCTTGTGAGATTTATTTTACTTTCTTTCTTTTTTCTTTCATTTTCTTCTTTATTTTTAGATTTTTTTCTCCTATTTACTTCTTTCTTTCTTTCTTTCTTTCTTTCTTTCTTTCTTTCTTTCTTTCTTATACTTTATTCATTTCTTTCTTGTTATTTTTCTTTTTTCTTTTTTCTTTTTTCTTTCATTTTCTTCTTTATTTTTAGATTTTTTTCTCCTATTTACTTCTTTCTTTCTTTCTTTCTTTCTTTCTTTCTTTCTCCTATACCTTATTTTTACATTTTCTTCCTGTTTTTTTACATTTTCTTTCCTTTCTTTCTTTCTTTCTTTCTTATTTTTACTATTTATTTCACTCATTTCTTTCTTTCTTTCTTTCTTTCTTTCTTTCTTTCTTTCTTTCTTTCTTTCTCCTATACCTTATTTTTACATTTTCTTCCTATTTATTTCTTTACTCATTTCTTTCTTTCTTTCTTTCTTTCTTTCTTTCTTTCTTTCTTTCTTTCTTTCTTTCTTTCTTTCTCCTATACTTTATTTGTACATTTTCTTCCTGTTTATTTCCTTCTTTCTTTCTTTCTTTCGTTCTTTCTTTCTTTCTTTTAGATTTTTATTCCTGTTTATTTATTTACTTCATTCCTTATAGATTCCTTTCTGTCTTTTTTTTCTTTTTCTTTCTTTCTTTTCTTTCTTTCTTTCTTTCTTTCTTTCACCTATTCTATATTTTTCATTTTTCTTTTGTTTTCACACACACACACACACACACACACACACACATACATACATACATATATATATATATATATATATATATATATATATATATATATATATATATATATATATAAAGTGGACACTGAGGTCAACACCAAGCAACGAGAATCGGTTTTATTCTTCAATGCATTTATCAGGCTATGAAGATGTTGTGCAAGCATGAAACAGACTGTCGCCGCTTGAAGTTACCTCAGTGTCCACTTTCATATTTGCATATGCTCTATCTATGATATTTACTACTTTTACCCATAAATATACCATACCCTAAAATTATATTCTATTACACACACACACACACACACGCACACACACATAGAGGAAAATACATTAGAACAAATGCCATGAAAATATATATTTACGGTTTTTATTGTCAAATTATCTTTGAGACGGTAAGAAAAACTCTCAAAACGAGGCTAGAAATGTTTTAAAGTGGACTATGACGTCCGTATAACCGACTCTGACATTTAAATAAAAGGTTTATGCTTTATGGTCCACATTAGTAGGACACTGGCAGTAAGGTTTCATGATTGTAGTGTTTGTTTAATAAAGAATTATTGAAATATTAGATTGGTCAAAAAGTCCTGACTTACTTAGGAAGCGGAAAGAAAACAACGACATTTTACGGAGCAACGTCAACATTTATTCTTCAAAATGAAGTCCATCATTCTCGGCGATCTTCTGCCAGCGATCAGCCAGCATCCGAATCTGTCCCAGATACCAGCCAGCTGGCTTTAAATAAACAAACAGTAGACAAGCTTCCTTAATTTCGTCAAAAGTGTTGAATCTCTTGTCGCGGAGGAAGTATGCTATTGAGCGCAGTAGGCCATAGTCACTCGGAGCAGCATCGGGAGTGAATGGTGGATGTGGAAGAGTCTCAACACCGTCCATCTGTTTGAACGGCTCCTTCGTCAACCTGACAGTGTGTCGCCTCGGATTGTCTTACCAAAGCAGGATACTTTTTTTCGTTTGTCGTACCTGTGGTCTAGCTGCTGGCAATACAATCTAGCGTTGATGGCGCGACCGTGTGGAACAAGCTCGAAATGCAGTACTCCTTGGAAATTCCACCAGACGGATTTGTTGTTTTCTTTCCGCTGAGTAAGGACTTTCTAGCCAACCTAGTATATACTGGATTGAGGCAAAGAAGAATACGTTTTGTGTCTTGAAAGATAAAAGAGGCTGAAGGTTTTAGAATTAATACCAGGTGTTAAATGCGTGTTTATCTATTTATTTATAAATATGCTTCTCATTTAGAAATAATAGATGAGAGACTGCACACCGCGTGTTATATATTTATTTTGAAGTGATAACCTTTCGTGAGCCTTTTCTATTTGTTTTTGTATTACAGTCTTGAATATGACTTCGTCTGATGCACCAGTCCTTCATTAGTCGCCCTTTTCACATACGCAAATGCGCATGCACGAAAAAAAAAAGATCATTCTATATGTACATCTGTTTGCATTGCTATATTTATGCAGTCTTCAGATTGCATAATGGCTGCCAGTGTAGAAAGATCCAAACAAGTTTTGTATTTTTGCCCCTCTTAGCATTAACAGCTTGGGAAAGGCATGAAACTTTATTTACGTCACCACCTGCTTATTTTCTAGTATGCCATGTTGGTTTGTCAATACGTGGAGGCATGGTGGAGCAGTTTTTTCTCTTTTATTTAAATGAAATTTAAATTTGAACAAGGGAATGACTCCTATCAAAAATATAGCAAGAAAAAGCCAGAAGATGGAGGTCACATTGGCAAGATCAAAATGAGACTATATGGTCGTCTTGTTGAGCAAGAAATTACTAATCAGTGTATACACTATATATATGTTGCGACAATTCAACTGTCATATCAATCACATCAAGCTGTTTTTGCACAAACCGCCCATTGAATTTTTTCTTACCTTTGATTTAAATTAATGACTTCTATCCAAAATATTGAACGAGAAAGCCATAACATGGAGATCACATCGGGAAGATCATTGTATAATATCGAATTGTATCATTTTTCTCCACAAATTATAACAATGATTTAAAATCAATCATCATTTTCTTAAAAAAATGTGTGATATGCCGCAAGGTGCGGGTGATTCGGCTAGTATATATATATATATATATATGTATGTATGTATGTATTATTGTATTGATAAGGACATTACTTTAGCCTGATAATGTTCTTTCAGAGTACAAAATGCAATGGATAGCGGCTCGGATTGAGAAATCGGAGAGTTCGAATTCTAGGCGAATCCGTTATATTCACTTACATGTTGGCAAAGGCATGAATCCTCTTCTTCGCACCCCCCCCCAGCTCTGGGTAAAGAGCCTTGGGTGGCAACTGGTCTAGGAGCATGAGAACTCTGTATTCAAAACCTGATCTAGTAGGCTAACAACCTACTCACTTAAAAAATTGACTCGTTTATTGAAACCGCAACTATTTATTGCGGCCCTATGTTCCTAAAGGCATTATATATATATATATATATATATATATATATATATAAGTAATTCATTGTCTAGAAGAAACCTCGACAGAATCCAGAAAGCACTGAACGCCCGTTACGTCCTATATTTGGGATTCTTCAACAGTGCGAATCCACTACCGAGAATTGAAACCCGGACAATTACGTTATCAGCCAAACGTCATACCAACTGTACGAACGAAGAGGTATCGAATCAGACTTGATATAGCACCGCTTGATCACATATTCCGTGGTGGAACTCATCCGAGTTTCACTTTTACCCATAGGACTGTGCCCCCACGAGCCACGACTACTATCTCCAAGCCGTTCCATCCAGAGTATTAGAAGCCGGTTCAAGCAAGGTTGTACAAGTGATAGAAATTAAGGAGGATTTGAAATAATTATAATTAAGTAATTCATCATGTCTAGAAGAAACCTCAACAAAACGCAGAAAGCACTGGACGGCCGTTTCGTCCTATATTTGGGACTCATATGGGCAAGGACCAAGGCCGGAATGATCAGCGATTGGCCGAAGTGCTTTGTGGGCGGGTCATTCTGACTGCTACGAATTGCCTCTGTCTGGGTTTTAAATATATATTGAACACAGCGCGAAGTCAACAGAGGGTCAAGAATTCTGAAGCGTCGATATACCTCCCACACTCAGGTTTGCGGGCGCTGAACCAAAGTGAGATATGCCACTCTTAATAAAAAGGAATACCAAAAGTAAATTATCCTTTTCATTGATACCGTTTCATGTATTAACGTGAGGATCCCGAGATGACGCAAAACGCAACAATATGAAACCATTCACTTTTATGTGTGCGTCCCAGTCATCGTGACGAAGTGATAGATAAATGTGCTTCGGAAAAATCCTTGTCCCATAATTGCCGTACATCCAAAATAGGGCAGAAAATAAAGATCGCTTGTACCCTTATTTTTACTTGACACAATATCGCTACAGGCAAAAAGTGTGAAAACAACCTGCATTGCTTCCAAAAACACCTTAA